TTAGCCCAGAGGGAGTAAAAAAGTAGAACATTAAACCCCATTTCATTTCATTTTATTTAAACAGTTTAAAATTTTGTATATTATTCATTACAATGTAAAATTGGTTCGTTGTTGGTATCGAATAAATATCTGCATGTGTTTTTTACAACCAGGTTATAACTAATCGTTCACTTCTACTTGTATTTCAGGTCAAGCTAACGGCATGGTGTAAATTGTAACATTATAAAACATTTATTATTTAATTCATGTCATTCATTTTCTCTTCTTGAAATATTTCGGTATAAAATCAAAAATGAATAATAAAAATTGAAATAATATACATATGACTATGTAGTTTAATTTGTTAAACATGCACATTTAAAACCTTATGAACTATACAGTTTGGGGGATCTGAACAATGTTTTACAGGCTTGTTTTCTGAATAATTTTCATTCGGATTTGTTCTTCAAACGTTTGTGAGTTACTCTGACTCTTTGAGGAAGACACTGGTTCAAGGATCCCGGGTTTGATTCCGGTGTTGGCCGAGAATGTTTCAACGGAGTTTCACAGCTCTATATCCCCTTATCTATATAGGTCGGATGAACAACCGACATCTCGCGTACACATCGGCATACACGTAAACCTTCTCTAGGAGGTCGAAATTCGATGAATAGGCAGAAACCGAACTTTCCTGGCAAAATAGCCTCGATAGCACACTGCATGACGTATGCACGTCTTCATTAGCCCGATTGTTGCTGAAAAGTATTTCATTCAAACAGATAATAGGCAGACTAAATAAGGGTAAGCTTGGGGGAATGTTATTTTATGCCAACCACTGCACTCTTTCTAACATGAACGGGTCCCCGAAAAGGGCAAATAGGCATTAAAACAAAGCGTGAAAAATAAACTATGTGGTTGAATAGGCGGGAGAACTCGTGAGATATTCGTAGTAGAAATAGTATAATTTTTCTAGCAGACACCCCTTCAGTTACCTCTTTAAAAAGCAAAAAAAGTAACTATATATTGAACGCGATGCGATAACTCTCAAGACAATCTGAAATTATGTAGACACCTGCTGTAGGTAACATGGTCAAAGCAATGGTCCTTCGACTTACCAGTGTTGCCTGTTATTGACATAATGAAGATGGTGGTTAATACACAGGCTGTTGTGACAAATCCATTTTCGCTTGCATTTCAGAACTTAACGGAAAGTCCGTTCACACTAAACTTCCAAACATTAGTTATTGTGCACCCGAATGGACAGCATTTGGAAGGGGTATTTAGATGTGTCTTGCTCCGATGATTTGATGTTGATTCAAAAGGCCACTTTCTACGTATAAATATACTCTACACCATCCCACTTTCTGCGTATAAATATACTTTACACCATCCCATACCCTTCTGCTATAATGTCACCAATATTACCCACAAACCCCCCACTGTTGCAAATTGTCTCCAGTTCTTAAACAAAAAGTCAACTCATAAGTGGATGAAAAGGAGCGAAGAAATACTCTCTACTTTCCAATATCTTCGAAATCCCTGCAACTTTTATTGTAAAGATGATGCAAAATGAATTATTCTGACTGGTCTCCCAGCGGTAAGTGGCCGTGTAAAGGAGTGACCTTTTGACCTCGCACTCTGACTGGCTTATGAAAATCGTTCGCACTATAGGTAATTTCCGCGCATAAAATTTCGGCAACGTTCCCGCTAGTATAAACGACTTCATTCAAATAGTAGTAATTCGACCAAATCCGGTCGCCGTTTTCGCGCTCTGTATAAACTGCCCTTTAGTTTATTTAACTGTCTGTAAACAACTCACTGTATGGGTTAAAACTTAATCACACATACTGATCCTTAACATATGTTTTAAATTTCAACTAAATGGTACAAAGTTTGTACGATTCACATTTTGCGTGAAAGGCAAGAGCCATAACCCAAGCAGTGTCGGTCTGATGCGGACCAAAATCTAACTCCGCCCAGATCTTTTGATCCATAACATATGTTTCATCTAAATAGGACCATGAATTATGGGCTCTAGAATTCCGTACATATTTCACAATTATGAGTAAAGGCCACGGGTCGTAAGCCATGACGTTCCGGTTCGATGCGCACCAAAATCGAACCCATCCGAGATCTGTAGGAAATAAAAATATAGTTGTAATTTCATCAAATTAGGATAAACAATTGAGACCTCTATAATGTCCACAAACGTTTCAAGTTCCTCTCAACCGGTCTAGTGGGTAAAATTATGTTAAAGAAAAGCCGACAATAGACGGACATTTTAAAAATTCAAGAGAGTACCGTGATTTTCTTAATAAACGGACACCTACGCAAATTTTAGTAATTGTATTATGAATGGTTGTTACATTTATCTGCTTAACTAATGTCGTCGATTGAAAATCGTCTGTTATGGATAATTCGTATGATTGAAAAGAAATTCTGGGTGTGCGCTGGCCTTTATACACAGTAGCTTGGCCAACCTGTTATGGCATTTGTTCTTCATTAAGTCTCAACCACCTATGAAATTTTGTAATACTCTCAAAATCCATAATTCTTCTCTCAAGCTAATATGTGACTTAGAAGTCCCTGCTGTTGCAGAGCTAGCCCCTTCCATCCGACATGGGGGATCACGTGGTTAAGTGGGTAAGACGCTGGCTCGCTAGCCTGGAGGTCGGGTGTTCGATCCCTGCAATGGCCGAGAAAGTTCATTCGGATTTTCCGGCGTGGTTTCCCCTTGTCGGTGACGCAGGATGGGTGCCTGACAAGGACAGCTGTCTAGTCGTTCGGATGGGACGAAAAACCGAAGTCCCGTGTACACATTGGCGTTCACGTAAAAGATCCCTTGGCAGTTGGAATTCGATATAAGAGTGGGCCGAAGCGCCGCTGCCCGGGCAAAATTTCCCTCATAGCACACTGTATGGCGTATGCCCAGGTTAGGAGCAGAACAGTAGGACGTTAAACCTCATTTCATTGCAGTTCATTTCCACCCGACATGACCAATGTCTGAGTATAGGTATCCCCTGCCGTGGGAATGTATTCTTTAATAATGTGAACATAAACAGTGTATTTTAGAATCATATTTATAATAAGTGGTACTAAGCATGATATTCTTACCCTTTCTAAAGCACCCTTTAACACTTCCCATTGAGGGAACAGTATTTTAGTATTGACACACTCGACACCAGATCTAAGATTCTTTATTATGAAACAATCATATGGATTCATATGGACACATAATTAAATGGTGAATTTATGGTTCTTTGAAAGTTTTTTTTGAAATGATAGTCTCGAGGCTTTGTTATCTAAAACGGGAAGTAACTGACATTGGATAACTTTCACTTCAAGGAGTTAGAGTTTAAAGGAGCTAAATCTAGAAATTGACACAAATTTTAATGGGCCACAGCGCATATAATAATGTAATATGAATGTATGAACTGATTTACATTCAATTGTTTCCGTTTTTACTCTAATTTCAATTCAGTTATGTTCGGCGAAATACGCGAGAAGTCTCAATCAAATAACAATGTCTAGCGTCTGGTAATTCCAGTCTACACGGGTAGTATTTATTTTGCGTGCTCTCCAGACAAGAATAAAGCGTCACAGTTTGACATGACTTATGGAAAATGTCTAGCCTCGTTCTTCGAGTCCCGTTGCAAATAGCGTTGAAACGCATTCTGGTACACAATTCGTGTACCAATGGTAAAATGTTTATTTTGTCTTAATTATTGGACATCAGAAGCCCATCTTTTCTCGGTAAGATCACAACATCAATCTTGAGTTAAAGATTTAGCTACTTTAAAACAAATATTTCAGTTGACAATTGTGTTTAAACAGGATAGGCCTCTCTCCCTTTAAATTTTATTTAAATACATGTATATAGTCATAACTATTCATATTTTGTTAATAATAAAATTATGAATGCATATAAAGATATTTTTACAAAAATGGTAATTCGATATACATAACTTTTGATGAAGGCTATAAGGCCTTCAAGTATACTAACATAACATGTGGCAACGTGAACAACAGACGATAGTAATAGAGGTAATGATGGTAAAAGTAAGGCAAAATAATAATAAAGAATCAGAGTACTAAAAAATCTATTACTTGATTCTAATAATGTATGCACTTAAAAAATATTATATTATTTTGATCAAGTGAAGTATCCAAAGACCATACAATAGAAATTGTGTGGTAATATTTTTAGTTTCATTTCGTGCATCTGATCATATAAGAGACATACCAGGAGAGAGTGATAATGATCTTTAAAGTTGTGTCCACTTCCGCAAGTTAGAGAGTTGGTTATGTGCCTTTAAAATGCATGTCTATTTAATTTACAGTTTGATAACCAAAGAATTATTTACCATATAATGTACATGACATATATAAGAATTGATCACTGTTACAATATTAAAATTAGTTGTGGTGGGTGGCCGAATGATCTAGGGGGTGGGGGGGGGGGGGTGGATGGCCGAATGGTTAGCACGTGCGTGCTGTATCATACGGCCTGTTATTGAGTCAACTGGAGTGGTTTCGAATCCCCGGTTGTACGTGACAGGGAGTGGGGTCGCCTGTCCAACCTCGTGGGTTTTCTCCGGGTCCTCCTACTGCTAAAGACCCCTACGCGCAAGCGAATTAATGAAGTAAAATTAACCATATGTTAGTCTGGAAATGACATAGTTTGGGTCGAGTGGACGTTAAACCAGATTTCTCTCGCAAGTCTCTCTGTCATCTCATAAGAAATTGTCCTTTTCAGAAAGATGTTCTCTAGTCACCGTGGCGACCAGTATACGAGTTACTTTAAATATGGTTATCAAAACAACCAGTAGTCCCTGTATGTAATCAATTATAATAATATATAACTTCCCTGTATCAATAATCACCATATATAACCATAATACATGCTATATTACGCATGTTATACAATGATAATGTAAATGAATTAATATCTACTTAATAATTCATTAAGAGGAATTTCCGTAAACAATTTGAATACCGATATTGAATTATAATATCCGAATTACAATTAACTCGTAATATGTGGACCAATTATCGATAATCCTGCCATGTCAAGTAATAGATTAGATCTTTAAGCAACAGTATATAAATGCATTACCCACGTTTTATCTTTAGTTTATAAGTCTATTGGAATATACGAATATCAAGGTAAGAACTTCTAGTGTATAATTATGATTTATGAAGTACAGATTTAGCATTATGAGATGAAGTGGGTTTTTAACTTCCTAATGAATAACAGCATACGCCATGCAGTGGGCCATCGAATTCCAACTGTCATGCCAGCGTGTAAACATGGCTTCGGTTATGTGTGACATCCGAACGACTTCGCGTTGTTCCCTACTAGAAAGTGGAAATCACGCTCAAAAATCCAACTGCACTTTCATGGCCTCCTTAGTTAGAGTTAGAGCTCATTATATAATAAGTAACTGCTATGATATAGTTATAAATAGCTGATATGAAATAGTTAGAATTGATTATACATATCTGATATATGGTTAGAATTGATTATTAGTATTCGATATGTGGTTACAATTACTAATAAATAACTGATATGAAACAGTTATAGTTGATTATAAATAACATACATAGAAGTGATATTATAAATATCTGATAAAATAATTAGAATGGATTAAATAAATATTATTATTAAATTCTGTTTTCCTTCAGATGATGAAACAAGTTGTTACTGTATTTGCCTATTTGGCTGCCGTATCCATGGCTGTTCCTATGGGAGGTCTTGGTATGGGCATGTATGGAGCTGGTCTGGGGGGAATGGGCATGTATGGTGCTGGTCTTGGAGCAATGGGCATGTATGGCGGATTAGGAGGATTCGGGATGAATGGTGCTGGTATGTACGGAGGTCTGGGTGGACTTGGCATGTACAGTGGCATGGGAATGTACCCTATGGGTGGACTTGGCATGTACGGAGGTCTAGGAATGTACGGTGGCTTAGGCGGCCTTGGAATGTATGGAACTGGTTTAGGAGGCCTTGGTATGCACACTGCTGCTTTAGGAGGCCTTGGTATGTACGGTGGTATGAACGGCGCTTTTGTTGGTGGAATGAACCCAGAAATGAATGTTGAAGGTAAAGGTGAAGCTTTTTTTTCTTGGAATTATAATCATGATGCTCATAAAAGTTTGCACAGTTTATAGATTACGTTGGACTAAGTGGAGTAACATATCCGTAAGTTCATGGGGAGCCACGGTCGCGCAGTAAGTTGCTGACTTGTTAACCAAGGGTCACGGGTTCGATCACGGTGTTGGCCGAGAAAGTTCAGTGGTGTAGGGCAAAGGGCATGGCAAGGGACAGTGTTTAGTTGTTCGGGTGGGACGAAAAACATAGGTCGCGTGTACACATTGACGTACAGGTAAAAGAACCCTTGACAGTTGGAATTCGATATAGTAGTAGGCCGTAACGCCGCCGTCCGGGCAAAATTCTGCCATAGCACTGCATTGCGTATGGCCGTCTTAATTAGCCCGGAAGGAGCAGAAAAGTATGACATTAAACCGCATGTCATTTCATTTTATTTAAACAGTTTAAAATTGTGCATATTATTCATTACACTATAAAATTACAACATCTAATGAATATCTGCAGTGTTGTTTTACAACCAGGGCATAACGATCGTTCACTTGTACTTATATTTCAGGTCAAGCTAACGGCATGGTGTAGACTTTAAAACTTGAACATTATAAAACATTTATTATTTAATTCATTATCATTCATTTTCTCTTGTTAAATTATTTCGGTATAAAACCAAAAATGAGTAATACAAAAATTGAAATTAATACGCATATTATGAATAAATGTAATTGTTATAAATATATATACTTTACAATTTGTTCTTTATTTATTACGTTTTCTGGAAATGAATAGAATGGTGTTTACTTGCAAAGAAATTATCAGAAACCAAAAGGTAGTACTAAATTATCTATCTGTGGAGAGTAAAATAATGCGTTATATTCAGTTCTTTCATTTAAAAAAGTTTGACAGCATTGAGTCACGGTGGCTCACAAATCAAGAATTCCCTCTGTTGACATGAGGTCGGGTGTTCGATCCCTGCATTCGCCGAGAAAGTTCATCCCGATTTTCCGACGTGGTTTCCGCTGGTCAGTGATGCAGGACGGAGGGCCGGACAAGGACAGCTGTCTAGTCCTTCGGATGAGACGAACAACCGAGGTCCCGTGTAAACATTGGAATGCACGTAAAAGATCCCTTGGCAGTTGGAATTCGATATAAGAGTAGGCGATAGTGCCGCTGCCCAGGCAAAGTTTCCCTCATAGCACACTGTATGGCGTATGCCCGTCTTCATTAGCCCAGTATAAGAGCAGAACAGTAGGACGTTAAAATCATTTCATTTCTCTGTTGAGTCAAATGGCGTGGTTTCGATTCCCGGTTGTACGTGACAAGGAGTAGGGTCGCCTGTTCAACCTCGTGGGTTTTCTCCGGGTCTCTCTCTGCTGAAGACCCCTACGCGCAATCGAATTATTAAAATCAAATTGAACCATATGTTAGACCCGAAATAACCTAGTTTGTGTCGCGGGGACGTTAAACCCAATTTCTCCCCCCCCCCTCTCTGTTGGCCGGTAAGTACCTCGGCATTTTCAGTGCGATATCACCTTACAAGTTCTACAAATATTTTAGTGCTTTTCAAGGAGTTTAACGAACACTCATCAAATATAACTTCAGATTTGACTGCTCCGACTGGGCTAATGAAGACGCGCATACACCGTACAGTGTGCTATGAGGGAAATATTGTCCAGACAGCGGCGTTACGGCCTACTCTTATGTAGAATTCCAACTGCCAAGGGATCTTTACGTGCACGCCAATGAGGACCTCGGTTTTTCGACCCATCCGAACGACCATCCGAACGACTCGACAGCTGCTCTTGTCAGGCCGCCCAGCAACACTGACAAGGCGAAACCACACCGAAAATTCCCGATGAACTTTCTCAGCCAACACCGGGAGCGAACCCGCAACTCGAGGCTAGCGAACAAGCGCCTTATCCACTAAGCCACCGTGGTTCCATTCATCTATGTAGATCAGTGTTTGAATAATTAGCTTATTTTGAATATTCGTGGCATTGCCTCACTAACAAAGCATGTCCAGTATCGATCCCGATGGTGGCCGAGAAAATTCCAGCTTGAATTTCCCTTGTCAGTGGTTCAGGTCTGGCGAGAAACAGTGTGTACATATTGGCCTACAAAGAAGTGTACGGGGAAACGACGCTGTCCGGGCAAATATTGTCATAGTACACTGCATGACGCTTGTCCATCCTCAATAGCCCAGTTAGTGCAGAAATGTAAGACTGAGAGGAGTATAAATCGGCCTTAAAACTTTATAACCCATCTCATCTCATTTTCCTGATGTGTTTCTTGCGATTTGTTTAAAAAGACCGATCTCTTTCTCAATATGGGTAAAACAGACATATATAACACTACATAATTAAAAAATATTTATAAATGCTATTGCTATGCAATAAATAATATGTGATATTTAAACATATATTATGCAAGAGCTAAATCTGTCTATTGCAGGGGGGTGGGGGGTGGATGACCAAATGGTTAGCACGCGCGCGCTGTATCATACGGTCTGCCATTGAGTCAACTGGCGGGGTTTCGATTCCCTGGTTGTACGTGACAAGGTGTAGGGTCGCCTGTCCAACCTCGTGGGGTTTCTCCGGGTCCTCCGGTTTCCTCCCACTGCTAAAGACCCCTACGCGCTAGCGAATTATTGAAATAAAATTGAACCATGTGTTAGTCCCGAAATGACCTAGTTTGTGTTGAGTGGACGGTAAACCCCATTTCTCTCTCTCTCTATCTCTCTCTGTCTATTGCAGGTCTTTCTTTAGGCCTGAAATGTTATCTAAATTATTATTTAGACATTAATTAACCTATCCAGACCATAATCAACTCTAGATCTGTAGTGGATTATGAGCCGATTTACTGCATAACTTTCCTTCACGATTTAATGATTAAATGGATAATCGAGACTATGCTATTTATCGTACTGACTTTAGTAATGATGAACGAGGCTAGGCGGAAATTTCATCAGCTTAGTTCTAGGTTCATAGTGGATCAATTTGAATGAAATTTTCAGCAAATTGCCTTTACGTTATCTAGTTTTTAACTATTATGATGAGAACTGCCAACTCGTTATCGAATCTCCCATAATGTATCTTTAAGTAAACGTGTGAAAGATAAATTGGTTTGAATATGTTTTGAGCCCAAGTACATCATCAAATCACGTGGGAAGGCATCTTTAAACAATCGCTGGGACATATTCGAATGACAAAAGATGGCGAACTTTTGGATTGGCCCTTGTTGGTCGCGCGACGGCCTTTTTATACTTTGAGTAAATTATACATCTAAAACTAAGGACCCTCTTGTATCGTTTTTCTTGATTCTTCGCTTTCTAGCAAAACTGTTTGTACCACAAAATTTAGGAAAAGACTACGTGAAAATAATTATATACTGGATGAAATTCAAACAGACAACAGTTTTAGGATGAATTACAAGTAATGGCGTCGGTGGGTTTATTACTTGCGCTAAAATGAAACTTGAATTGTGTGCTTATACAAACAACGAATAAATAACATAAAACGGTCATGGCACTGGATCCCTCACTAGAATTTCCCTGGATGTAATCCCGGCGGAGGCCTACGAGCTTCACATTGGAGGGGGCGAGGGAGTGGATGGCCGAATGGCTAGCGCATGCGCGCTGTATCATAAAATCTGTCATTGAGTCAACTGGCGTGGTTTCGATTCCACGATTGTACGTGACAAGGAGATGGGTCGCCTGTCCAACCTCGTGGGTTTTCTCCGGGTCCCCCGGTTTCCTCCCAATACTAAAGACCCCTACGCGCAAACGAATTATTGAAATAAAATTGAACCATATGTTAGTCCCGAAAACAACGAATAAATAACATAAAACGGTCATGTCACTGGATCCCTCACTAGAATTTCCCTGGATGTATCCCGGCGGGGACCTACGAGCTTCACATTGGAGGGGACGAGGGAGTGGATGGCCGAATGGTTAGCGCATGCGCGCTATATCATTTAGTCTGTCATTGAGTCAACTGGCGTGGTTTCGATTCCACGGTTGTACGTGACAAGGAGATGGGTCGCCTGTCCAAACTCGTGGGTTTTCTCCGGGTCCCCCAGTTTTCTCCCTATACTAAAGACCCCTACGCCAAACGAATTATTGAAATAAAATTGAACCATATGTTAGTCCCGAAATGACCTAGTTTGTGTCGAGTAGACGTTAAATCCCATTTCTCTCCCTCTTCTCTCACACGGGGGCGTTCTGATGTACATCTTTATATACATAGGTTTGCATTACACACTGAATATATAGGAAATCAAACTACTATTTGTTTGTCTTAAAATGGCAGAACTATTATGGTTATGTGGCATTAACACCCATTCCATGGCAAATAATGATAGCACCCGTATTCATTAGCCCAGCTTGTGTAAAAATGGGTACATTAAATTGTACCTCTTATACCACAAGATATTAAGATAAATAGTGAATATAAGAATTTCTTGTACAGTACTTTATTTACCATATAATAACAATACATATATACCACAAATTAGTATGAATTAAGAAATCGTGGATATTTGTTTTTCTTGCACCGTACTTTATTTACCATATGTTGTAGCTGAAAAATAAGAAATACCAATAACTGATATGCCATTTTAAGTTTTGTTTTCGTAAATATATTTGAATAAAAGGCTTGATGTAGGAATGGTTTCACATTATTCCTACTCCAATTTCTCATTTATATTAAAATGGAATGTAGTTTAAACTTCCTGCTGTTTTCACCAACCGAGCTAATCATGGCGAGACATATACCAGTGTACTATACGGGACATTTTACCCGGATAAATGTCAATGTGTTCTTTTTTCGCGCACGCCAATGTGTACCCACGACCTACTTTCCTCTACGGCTGAAATGGGTAAACAACGATTGAAACTCACCAGGAACAATCTCGGGAAACACATGCATTGAAGCCCGGACCCCTGGTTAGTGTGTCAGTGCCTTATTAAATAAGCCAAACGACCGAAAAAAATGCAAATGGTTATGAAGTACCGTAGTTGAATCATTGAAAATTAAATTGCTTTCCCCGATCCTTGATCCGGCTGATCAAAACTGGTGATTGTGTTTGCTTGCCTTTTCTTTATAAACCATATTTTAATTCATCATGAGTACCCTATGTAAAAGTACACCTCCCTTTAACAGTGTAGACAAAGGGTTGGTTTTAAATAAAATAACCAGATTAACATACCTGCTAGCATAGCTGGATGACCTCCACCAAACATACCAAGTCCTCCTAAACCAGCTCCATACATTCCAAGACCTCCCAAACCACCGTACATGCCGAGACCTCCTAGACCACCGTACATACCAAGACCTCCTAGTCCTCCGTACATGCCCATAACTCCCAGCCCTCCGTACATACCAAGACCCCCTAGTCCTCCATACATGCCAAGACCCCCGTACATGCCGAGACCACCCATTCCGTACATTCCAAGGCCTCCCATAGGAACTGCCATGGAGACGGCAACCAAACAGGCAACAGCAACAATCAGTTTCATCATCTGAAAATGAAGAAGTGCTATTATTATGTAGAATGAAAACCAACTGGTTTCTAGATTGTGTGGTTTATTACGAGCTTCTTCGAGTTGCGGTCATTAACAGCTTATTTCGATGACAAACTGGCCACAAGAAGCGTAGAAGACCAGACGAGAATAGACTATGCAATCATAGTAACCAGTCGACCTTACCTTGTTATTGTACAGGAGTCTTGAAGTTGAACTGAAGATCTATAACATTTTCT